GAGGCATGGTGGAGGAGTGAGGGGAGGGGAGGGGCAGGTTGAAGGAGGGGGTAGCTGGGAAGAGGGCAAGGGAAGGAAGGGGCAGGTGGGAGGGATAGCTGTGGGAGCAGGGGCAGGTGGGAAGTGGGAGGGGTGGGTGTGGAGGTGAGTTGAGGGGCAGGTTGTAGAGGGAGGGAGTAGGTGGGGAACAGGGTAGGTGGAAAGGGCAGCTGAGTGAGAGGTTGGCAGGTGAAGGAAGGGGCAGATGTGAAGGGGAGGGTGAGGGGAGGGGCAGGTTGAAGGAGGAGGCAGCTGGGGGAGAGGGCAGAGGAAGGAAGGGACAGGTGGGAAGGGTAGCTGGGGGAGGGGACAGGTGAGGTGAGGGAAGGGGCAGGTGGAAAGGGGAGTGGGAAGTGTGTGGGGGGAGTGAGGGGAGGGGTTAGGTTGACAGAGGAGGAATCTGGGGGAGGGAGCAGGTGAGGGGAGGGGCAGGTGGGAGAGATAGCTGTGGGGAGGGGGCAGGTGAGGGAAGGGGCACATGTGAAGGGGTGGGGGAGGCATGGCGGAGGAGGGAGGGGAGGAGAGGGGGCAGGTGAGGGAAGGGGCACATGTGAAGGGGAGGGGGAGGCATGGCGGAGGAGTGAGGGGAGGAGAGGGGGCAGGTGAGGGGAGTAGCTGTGGGAGCAGGGGCAGGTGGGAAGTGGGAGGGGTGGGTGTGGAGGTGAGTTGAGGGGCAGGTTGCAGAGGGAGGGAGTAGGTGGGGGAAGGGGCAGGTGGAAAGGGCAGCTGGGGGAGAGGTGGGCAGGTGAGGGGAGGGGCAGAGAAGTGGGAAGGGCAGCTATGGGGGAGGGGCAGTTGTGAAGGGGCAGGTGGGGATAGCTGTGTGGGAGGGGAGCTGCAGGTGCGGGAGGGGCAGGGGAACCCCACTCCCCTCCTAGAATCAGGGAGAGAACCCAGGAGCCCTGACTCCCAGCCCCCCCGCTCTAACCCCCTAGATCCCACTCCCCTCCCAGAGCTGGGAATAGGACTTTGACTCTCTGTCCCATCTGCTCTGTTCAACTGTTTTCCCTTCCGGTTATGCAGTCAGTTTCCTAAATACAGGTTTGGTTTTTTTCACAGCGCCTTTGGTGAACGATGAGTGCTCGCCGCCGCGGCGCGCCCGGTGACAAAAAGCAGCGCAAAAGTGCTGCGCGGAGACCCTCCTTGGTATCGGATAGTGAAGTGGGTCTGCTGGCACCGCCCCCGGAGGAGACTGGTATTTCCCCAAACCCTTCACTAGCGCTGCCTGCTGCGCCGATGATCCAACTCTCTGCGCACCCCGTGGCTTCCTGGGAGTCATAAGTGCTCAGCACCTCGGCAAATCCGGCCACTAGCTCTATTGACCCTCATTTGTACCAAACCCGGGTGCAAAGGTCATGTCAGTAACCAGACATTTGGCCAGACTGCAGCCTCTTGGGCCTTGTCTACACTATTCGGGCCTGGTTTTCAAGTGCTGAGCTGAAGTCAATGAGAGCTGCAGGCCCTTCAAATTCCCCGCCAGTGTTCTGACTGTTGCAGCTCCACCATTGTACATAGGACTGACAAGGTCCTCCTGGGTCATGGAGTCCAGTCCCAGTTCACCCTGTCATAGCCCGTTTAAACTTATCATGCTCCAGCTTCAAACTACACCTCTACCTCGATATAACGCTGTACTCAGGAGCCAAAAAATCTTACCGCGTCATAGGTGAAACCGGGTTATATCGAACTTGCTTTGATCCACTGGAGTGCGCAGCCCCACCTCCTCCCGGAGCATTGCTTTACCGCGTTATATCTGAATTTGTGTTATATTGGGACGCGTTATATCAGGGTAGAGGTGTAGTTCGGTTGTTTGCCCCCACTATTCCTACTGGGGGGCTGTTCCAGAACCTCCCGGCACCGTGAGAATCTCAGATCTGGGTTGTGCTAAGCCTAGGCACCTAGACCCTGCTAGGAGATAGATCTTTCAAAATCCGGCCCACTCCGGATGAGGAAACCACAGGAGGAAGGTCAGGTTAGAGTTAGAAACCTTCTCATTTCCAGCCTAGATTCCTTTCTTTCTCCCTTTTATTCTTGTGTCAACATTGTTCTGGACAGGGTTTGGGCATTTTAGTCACCATAAAATTCATCTCACCCAGTGGTTTTCAACCTGTGGTCCACGGGGGAATCCACAGACTATATCTAAGGGATCCACGAAAGGTTGTTGTTCCCATAGAACAATGGTTTTCAACCTGTGGTCCATGGGGGATCCGCAGACTGTCTATCATGTCCAAAGGGGGCCGCACCTCCATTCCAAAATGTTCAGGGTCCCGCAAATGAAAAAAAGTGGCAAACCGCTGAGCTAACCTGCTCTCAGCAAGTCTATTATGACGACAGTCGCACCTGCAGTGCTGCATCGTATAAACACCGGGTGAGGGATAGTCCCCGTCGCGGAGCTAACAGTCTCGCTAGACAAAGAGCGAGAATGAAACAGAGGCACGGGAGCTTGCCCACGGCTATACATCAGATCTCGGGCAGAGCCAGGAATAGAAGCCAGGTCTCGTGGGTCCTAGTGCGGTGGTGTAACTACAGGTCCACAGGAGATGCTGGCTGAAACCCAGGCAGCAATCTGGGTCCTTTCTACGCACTGCTGGAGCTGAAAGGGTGGGAAGTTACACCGGACATAAAAATGTCAAGTGTAGGCCTCACCTTGTTAAATCAAACCCAGTGTTCCCTTCCTGGCCTCCTGGTATAGGGAGTGAAGTGCAGCCCGCCCCTTTGCCCTATTAAAGATACAGGCAAGGTGAAGACATCTGCTAGTCTTGTTCATGGGCACCCTCCAGCCCCAGCTGCCGTTCCAATTGTTTTAATATTTGGGGTTTTTTTGTAAAAAACTTGGGTCTGGATTACAACTGCGGTTGTAGCTGTGGAAGGCTCTTCATCCCACTCCCTAAACCAGTGGTCCCCAACCTTTTCCATGGGGCGGGTGCTGGACGACTACCCGCCGAGGACCGTGGCCGCTGGACAAGCAGCTGCCGAAATGCCACCGTGAAGCGGCAACGCCAAGAGGCATCGCCATCAAAATGCCGCCGAGAAGCAGCGTCATCAAGAGGCGTCGCTGGCGAAAATCGGCGGCATTTCGGCGGAAGCGCTTCTTGACGTTGCCGCTTTTCGGCGGCTGCTTGTCCGGCGGCCAGTAGGCGGGCGCACATGGATGCCCCAGCGGGCGCCATGGCGCCTGCGGGCACCGCGTCGGGGACCCTGCCCTAAACTAACCAATCATCTCGGACATGGTGCCAGATGCAGTCACTGCTCTAGAGGTGAAAGGCCCCGTGTCCTGTTCCCTGCCTCCCAAGAGCCAGCCCGCGCTCCCCATGTGGGGCTGGATCAGAACCAGTGTCCTAGAGGTGAAAGGCCCTATATCCCATTCCTTGCCCCCCATAAACCAGCTGGTCCCCCCATGTGAGAGACAATACTGGAACTGATGCGCTAGAGGTGAAAAGCTGTCTCTCAGTCTTGGACTCCCGATCTATGCTGTCTTTTCAATCATTCCTTTCTTCAGACTTATCATTTAAAACTCCTAGCTGGAGATGTTTATCTTAACCAGGTCTGTGAGCCCCCCCTCCCCCTCAAATTGTTTCCCTTCAGTGTGTTACCACAGTAACCCACCCGGATTTCCAGCAGCAGCTCTTCGGAGCTCACGCTAGCTCTTACGTTCCAGTGATCATCGCTGCCTAATGTAACGTGCACGAAGCCAGCTCTGCTCAGAGCTTCTGCTCCAATCCAATCTGCTGCGACAGTCAGTGAAATGACATCCCCTGTCAGGCGGCTGAACGCTGGCTGAATTGGGAAGCACTTCCATGGGCCTGCTCCCTGGGAGGTGAAGCCGCGGAAGGGTTTCAGTCAGCAAGTGCAGAGGGTTTGATTAGGGACAAGGGAGCATGAAACAGAAGACAAGATGAAAGGGAGCAAAGATTAGGTCTGTAACACCAGCACCCAGGCATGGCGTGACCGCCTGCTGGTCCCCCTTGACGTACTCTGAGTCATCAGGGCCAGATGTAAACCAGACCTCCCCTGTTGGCAGCTGTCTCCCCTGGCCTGTCTGTCTTTCTCTTGCCAGCTTTGTAGCCATGTCTGTCCCAGGTCGCTCCCACCAATGGAAGTTGGTCTAATATTGCCTCACCCACCTTGTCTAGCTAGCCGTTCACGGTAATGAATCCCTTTAGAGGTGGCCACTTGTTTTTTTGGGTTCTTATATTGGGACACCCTGGGCCTGATTTTCCGAGCTGCAGAGCACCCCCAACGCCCGCTGGCACCGTTAGGAGCTGGGGATTCTCAGCCCCTCTGAAGATCGGGGTCCGAATTTCTAAAATGGGGCTGTGAGTATTAGAGGCGCCTGGATTTGAACAGGTGATGGCTAGTGACAGCCAGGAGGTCCTGCGCTGGGCACGGGGGCGGCTCAGAGCCGCACAGCAGAGGCAGATCTAGAACTCAGGGAGTGCACAGCAGTCGGGAGGGGCGATGGCGGCACGGGGCGGCATACCCAAGCTAGCGTTACTTGAGTTGGCTTGCGAAGAGTAGCAGTATAGTTGCAGCAGGATGGGCTAGTCGGCTGCGGACAGTCTCGCCCTGGCCCATAGTTCCTCCTGCTCCAGAAGCTCAGGGCCCGAGCACTTGCGTGAAAGGAGACTCTCCCTCAGCTTTGGGATGAAAAGGCTTGTGTGATTCCTGATAGTTTGAGGACATTTCTCTGGTACTCCCTCTTATTTCAGACACCGCAGTAGGAAGTCTCTCTGTCTCAGTCTCTCCTCCTGTGTCACGCTGGCTGGCACCGGCACTTCTCTCTAGCTTGGAACCGTGGCGCCCGGTTTCCACATCTCGTTTATGGTCACTGATTCTGTATTTGTTGAGAATCAGCCTCAGCTTTGGATGTGTTACTGTAGTGAAGTATCTGCTAGTGCAATAGGCCTGAAGCAGTCTAACTCAGGGGTCCCCAGTGCGGTGCCCGCGGGCGCCATGGCACCCGCTGGGGCGTCTAAGTGCGCCCATGTACTGGCCGGCGGACGAGCATCCGCCGAAATGCCACCGAGATGCAGCGTCATCCAGAGGCATTGCTGCCGAAATGCCACCGAAAATTGGCGGCATTTTGGTGGCGCCGCTTATTGATGTTGCCGCTTGTCGGCGGCATTTCGGCGGATGCTCATCCGCCGCCACGGTCCTCCGTGGCTCGTCTGGCACCCACTAGACGAAAAAAGTTGGGGACCACTGGTCTAACTCATTGTTTTGGATGTCTCTAGTGGTGTTTTAAGTTTTGCTCTAGTCTTGTTTTTTTTCTGCTTTGGGTGGGGTATTTATGCCCCTGGAAGTTGTTAATTAGCACTGGGAGTGATGATGTCTAGGTGTGGATTTTGCTCCCCTTTGGATTTAATTTCCCTGGTGAACTGCAGCCACTTCTGAAGTAGAGCGCAGCAGAGAGGAGTGAGGGGAAAGGACATTTTAGCTGAGGCAAATTCTGACTCTTACAGAAAGCACCCCCCTGGATCATTAATACTCATGCAAAGCAAACAAGACCTTGCCTGGGCTCCAAAATGTGGAGGGAGCAAACAACCTTCCTAGGATTTGAGTCCCTAGAGATTTCAGACCTGATCCGTAGATGATTACAGGTTTGCTACAAGGACACCTTGTGCGGGGGTCTCCTAGACGAGACCTTAAATGCCCGAGTTTTGGGGTGCTCTGTGCTGGATCTGGGCAAGATAGCTTTCCATCTCTCACTTCCCTGATTCTGTGACTAGGGCACATGCTCTAGAAATGCAGAACCTCGGGTGGGTCTGTTTGAGCGAGCAGATTGCTACATCGCTCTGTTGGATTCTAGCTGGCTGGTTTTTTAGCTGTGAATTCAAATGGAGAGAAATTCCAAAGCAACTTTTAAACATGATCACAAAATGCTAAAGGGTGGGGATCGCTAGCTCATGGCGGGGACGAGGTGGAGCTTGGTCTCTTCCACCTCTGGGTCATGGGTGTAGAACTGGCGTGGGTGGAATTCATACCCACCTGATGCCATTCGATTGCCCACTTGTGAAATGAATTCAGGTCAGTTCCACATTAAGATTATCACCACCGTCTGCTCCGGTGCTGGCAGCCCGGCGGAGACGCAAAGGCCAAATGGGTTATAGGCACCGATTTTAAATCAGTGGGAGTTAGGCGCCCAAATACCTTTAAAATCTAGCCCAGGTAGACTAACTCTTGTCTTCCCCTACAAGGATTCCCCTGGCTGCGGCACACTGCTGTGGACAGTGTACGAACTGGGGGGAGAAGTTTACTCTGCTGCCATACCCGCTTTGGTGATAAATGAAGGACTCCATGTCCGGGGAAGGCCAAGCTGGCACCTTTCACCAACCCATAAATTCACTTGTTAACAGTTTCATATAAAGGAAAAGTATTCGTGGCCAATCAGAAGGCGACTGTTCTTCATTCCCTCGCTCTGAGCAGAGGGTGCCTCACTCTGGATGCTGGTGTAATTGAAACACAAATGATGGCTCGTTATGGGCAGTGGCGTGTCCCACTGCGTTTGATTTGAGGAGCAGGGGGTGGTAGTGGGGGACAGTTAATTTAAAGAGTTGATATTCAAGCGTTTCTGTTTCAGCTTGACGGTTAATTTGTCACGCTTCATGACAACATTGTAAGTGTCCCCGAGGTCCCTCTCTGCTGGGTTTACAGGGTGTCGCATTCGTAGTGCCGACGTTCAGGAACAGAAACATTTAGCTGTACGTCACGCTTCCGTAACCTAATGTGTTAGAAAGGCTCAGGAGGCAGCCTTGTCACTCGGCTCGAGGGAGGCTCACGGTGCTTTAGGAACCCTCATCACAAAGTGCTCCAAAATCCATGAGCCTTCATCTCTTCTTACAGCCCCATTTCCTTTTCCTCCTCTCTCTTTCCATGTGCCGCGACAATGGAATAGTCGATTACTAATGAAGCTGTTTTGTTGTGCTCAGGGGTTTGGGGAATGGGATAATGGGGACTTTCATACCTAGGGCACCAGTTCCAATTTGGCTTCTGGTTGATGGGGACTGGCTGGCTGGCTCAGGGAATGGGACACTGGGTCTTTCATATTGAGGGCGCTGGTTCCAGTTTGGCCTCAGGTTAGGGTGGATGGGTTGCTTCACAAGATCAGGGAATAGGATACCGAGGCTTTCAGCTCAAAGGCACCACTTCCAAGGTGGCTCAGTGGTGACTGAGTGCTCCCATCTGGCAGCCATTCTGGATCTAGATCTGGATCTGAATCTAGACTGTTCTCAGTGGTACCAGAGGACAGAACAAGGAGTAATGGTCTCAAGTTGCAGTGGGGGAGGTGCAGGTTGGATATTAGGAAAATCTTTTTCACTAGGAGGGTGGTGAAGCACTGCAATGGGTTACCTAGGGAGGTGGTGGAATCTCCTTCCTTAGAGGTTTTTAAGGCCTGGCTTTACAAAGCCCTGGCTGGGATGATGTAGTTGGGGATTGGTCCTGCTTTGAGCAAGGGGTTGGACTAGATACCTCCTGAGGTCCCTTCCAACCCTGATATTCTATGATTCCGGGGTCCCTGTGTGTAATTATGTAGGAGTTTGAGTCCAGTTCCTAGTACCAGCCACACGGGTAAAACCTCATAGCAACTAGCACTAATAGATGTCCTCATTGGCCCCTTCACAGTAAAGCTCTTTGGAGAGGGGACATAAGCGTCCCTTGCCTCCAGTTCTGGGGATACACAGAGAGAATATCTTTCTTGGACTGGGTGAAAAGCCTTGTGAATGTGGGAGAGCAGGAGATGCGCTGCAGCTTGGCTTTAGTAAGGTTTTTGAGTCTCATGACTTTGCAAACTAGGGAAATATAGCCTAGATGAACCTACTGCAAGGTAGGTGAACAACTGGTGGAAAACTATACTCAGAAAGTAGTTATCAACGGTTCACAGTCAAGCTGGCCGGGGAAATCAAGTGGGGTCCTGCGTGGATCTGTCCTGGGTCTTTTGTTCAATGTCTTTATAAATGATTTGGGAGTGGCACAGAGGACACTTATAAGGTTTGTGGATGATACCCAGCTGGGAGGGGTTGCAGACGCTTTGGAGGACAGAATTAGAATTCAAAATGATCTGGACAAACTGGAGACATGGTCTGAAATAAATAGGATGAAATTCAGTAAGGACAAATGCAAAGTACTCCACTTAGGAAGGAACAATCAATTGCACAAATACAAAAGGGGAAATGACTGCCTAGGAAGGAGTACTGCGGAAAAGGATGTTGGCCAGGGATGGCCAACCTGTGGCTTCGGAGCCGCATGCGGCTCTTCAGAAGTTAATATGTGGCTTCTTGTATAGGCATCGACTCCGGGGCTGGAGCTATAGGTGCCATCTTTCCAATGTGCTCAACCCCTGGCTCTACCACAGGCCTTGCCCCCACTCCACCCCTTCCCGCTCCCTCCCCTCAGCCTGCCGTGCCTTTGCTCCTCCCCCCACCAGAGCCTCCTGCACGCCGCAAAACAGCTGATCGGGAGGGAGGGAGAGGTGCTGATCGCGGGGCTGCCGGTGGGTGGGAGGCGCTGGGAGGGGGTGGGGGAGCGGATGGGGGGGCTGCTGATGTATTACTGTGGCTCTTTGGCAATGTACATTGGTAAATTCTGGCTCCTTCTCAGGCTCAGGTTGGCCACCCCTGTCCTAGGGGCTATAGGTGATCACAAGCTAAATATGAGTCAGCCAGGTAATACTGTTGCAAAAAAAAGCAAACCTCGTTCTGGGATGTATTAGCAGGAGTATTGTAAGCAAGGGGTGAGAAGTAATTCTTCCACGGTAGTCAGCACTGATAAGGCCTCAGCTGTAGTACAGTGTCCAAACTTTGGGAAAGATTGGAGAAAGTCCAGAGGAGAGCAACAAAAATGATGAAAGGTCTAGAAAACATGACCTATGAGGAAAGAGTGAAAAAATCAGGTTTGTTTAGTCTGGAGAAGAGAAGACTGAGAGGGGTCTTGGGTGGTTATAAAGACGAGGGTGATAAATTGTTCTCCTTATCCACTGAGGACAGGACAATTAAGTAATGGGTTAAAGCAAGGGAGATTACCCTTCCAGTTAGGAAATTTTTCCTAATTAAGCACTGAAACAAATTACCTAGGGAGGTTGTGGAATCTCTATCTGGAGGTTTTTAAGAACAGGTTAGACAACCACGTGTCAGGGTGGTCTAGAATAATGCAGAGGACTGGACTTAGATGACCTACTGAGGTCTCTTCCAGTCCTACATTTCTATGATTCATTCTCCAGGGGCTGTTGAGTTGACACCTTCCACCAGTGCTAAACTCACTAGTCATTAAAGGAGGGGGAAAGTGTCAAGGCTCAGAGAAGAGCCCCTTATTTTTTGTGTCTTTACATTTTGTCTTCTCCAAGGAGGCAGTCCTCTTGGACCTTGCGATGGCGGGGGAGAAGGTGAGGCAGACGTGGTTGCAGTCACCATCCCAGAGGAAAAAGAGGTGGATCTGGTAGGTCAGAGGGCCCCGATGTGCTTTGTGGGCCATTGTGTCACCCATGCATATGACATTCCCTTTCCGTAATATCACGAAAGGATGATGCAGCCTGCATGATGGGGCTGGGCTGAGAAAGGACGGCCATCAAATACAAGACTTTCCTATACGTGGAACGACTAATATGTTATCTTGATGTTCTGGCCAGCTTCCAGCTCAGGTGATCCCATTTTCCCGCTCTCAATTCCCTGCTGCCACTGCAGTTGGATGTGGAATCCACCTTCATTTTCTGTTTCAAACTCCCTGTGGAACGGTGAAATGGCTGCCTCGTTCCCCCTTCCAAGTGTTGCATTTCACGCTGCAAAGCTCTTCCAGATTCGATGGCCCCGTAAGTGATTCTGATGATGATTACTGGCAGTGACCATTAATCCATCCTCCCCTCTCCGATCAGTCACACGGAGGGATTGGATGCGATGCTGTTTCTGAACTGTGTTCTCACCTGCCATCAGGCGCCTCCCAGCCCCGATGGCTCCTCACTCAGAGCCCCGAACAGAAAGGATAGAAGGAAGGAGGGTGGCACAGAATCGAGTTTTGTCACATTAATGCAGGTACATCTGGCTCTAAACTTTCGTGCCAGATGTTACCTCAATTTGATCCTAATTTCCAGGTTTTCTTTCGACGTTCCTGAGAATGAGAAATGGAGACAAGGCTTAATGTCTGTTCTAAAAAAACCCTTCCAAACCCAAACAGCTGCTCTGCCCAGCTCAGAATTTGCTGCTTTCATTCCTTACATTTCGGCTCTTTATTGTCTCTTACCTTCTCCTCCCCAGCAGGGATCAGGTTGCCTAACAGCCTAGCCCAGAAAGCTATGGAAGCTTTGATTGTCCTTCAACTACTTTGACAAATTATCCTCTCCTATACATTCCTGCGGGGCCTCAGGGGACAGTGATTGGCTAATGAGGATTTGTAATGAGATCAGGAGGCTTTCACTTTCTGGTATCCATTCCCAATGCAGTGCAGGTTGGTGCGGAGGAGAATCCACTCCCATTTGATGGCCATTCTCAGGCCCGCTCTGTGAAATGGGAAGGCCGTGTCTGTATGTTTCAGTCCAGTTCAGAGAGAAGCTGGTGTCCACCTCACAGAAACCACTGCCTCATCTCTCCTTGGCTTTGCTAAGGCTGTCACTGTCCTGTCCTCTTTCCCCAGAAACCCTGCATCCGAAGCCGGGTGGTCCTGAGTGGCCTAAGGGATGACATGTGGACAGAAGAGCATGCTGCAACCCTGGATCTCTTTCTGAAGGATGTCAGTAAGCAATTGCTCGTCGTCTACATAGATGAGTTTGCCGGACTGAAGGTTGAGCAGAATATGCCACATCAGGTTTGTCTGGCACCATGCTGCCTAGATCCTACAGGAGTTCCCGTGGAGGGGCTGCAGTCATATCAGTTTGTGCTGTCATCCTATTGGCCTCGTGAGCTAACCAGGTTTGGGACTAGTTCTCCCCTATGAGTTATTGCTGATCCTAATGCCCCAGCACTAGGAGGTGCTGTGCTGCAGGGGATGTTGAGGGGAACCTGGTGGTTCAGCATGGTGCCTTCCATGGCATGCTCATCACATTCATAAAATTAAGCTCGCGTATAAATGTTTGCAGGCTCCGGGCCTTAGTTTCCTTAAAAGCCTTTTGGGATGGGTTTTGCCTAAAGCTTTTTGAAATGCTAAATACATGATGTCAGCCCGTTCTCCTTTATTCACTCGTTGGCTGAGATGCTCAGGGAATTCTAACAGGTAAGAGAGGTGCAGAAGCCAGGCCAGCTCATCCCTGTCGTATCTTGTTCATAACTATCATTTCCTTGCTCTGATTATGTTTCAAACCTACGGCCCATTGCTTTAACTCTGCGTGTTGGGTGTGGGGACAAGACGCGTTCCCCATAGATGCATTCCCCATAGATACATTCCCCATAGATACAGCAAAGCCTGCTGCTAATTAACCTCACCCTGTCATTGGTTGTTCATCACAGGAGCAGAAACAGCTCACCTACTTCATCCGCCATGAGAATGCCGAGATCACCGCCGAGAATTTCCAGAAGACAGTGCAATTTGGCACCGTCCGGAGACCCTACATTGATTCCCTTGTGCGAATTCTCAATAGCGTCTTCCTCCCCCGCCTCTTCCACAACACCAATTGGCCCGAGAGCATCAAGAACGAATTCTTCTCGGAAATATACCACTTCATGACCTCTCTCACAGGTAGAGTGAGCGATGCCCTTTCGCTCTGAGCTGCCTCGCAGTGCTGGTTCTCTCCACCAGGATGGCCAATTTCTTGTTACACACTTGTTGGCTTGCTCTGGGCTCTCCTATTCCGGAGACTCCAGTGATGTCCCCAGTAGAAAATGGGGTGCTCAGCAGGATTTTGCACAGTGCCATTAATGATTTAGTTGGGGATTGGTCCTGCTTTGAGCAGGGGGTTGGACTAGATACCTCCTGAGGTCCCTTCCAACCCTGATATTCTATGATTTCCGGCCTTCAGAGGAGAATGAGTTTGGCACCACTGTTGTTTGCAGTGTGTGTTGGTCCCAGCATATGAGAGACACAAGGTGGGTGAAGTAATATCTTTTGTTGGACCAGTTTCTGAGACAAGCCTTTGAGCTCCACAGAGCCGAGGGTCCTACCTCACCCGCTTCATCTTTGTCACCACTGACCGAGGGCCAGGGTGGAGTTGGTCCTTAGTGGTGAAAGGCTTCGTATCCCATTCACTGACCCTCTTTGAGCCAGCCAGCGTTCCCTGATTGGAGCTGGTCCCTAGAGGTGAAAGGACCCATGTGCCATTCTCCGATTCCTCTGAGAAAATAAACCCTCTTCTGCCCCCCAGCCCCAAAGCCAATGCAGGAGAGAGGACCCAGAGAGAGGGTTTGATTGTGTCCCAGCACTTCATCTGTCTCTCCCTTCTCCAGATACCCGTTCGAAAATGAAGGGCCGCACGGTGCTCTACATCCCCATTGAAGCCCTGAGCATGAAGCCTGAAGTGGTAGTGAAGGACAAAGCACTGGTTCAGAGACTGGAAAGTGAGTAACTCCCCAGCCTGGCTCTCGGGGGGCCGTCGTGCTGCCTGGCCTGGGAGAGGGGAGCAATAACGGGATCAATGTAATGGGAAAGGGGCTGGGTGGCGGGATAAACTCCACAGAGGAGCCGGTGAGAATCGCAGTGCGCGGAGTCTAAGTGAATTAACCTCCAGCAGCATATGAGCTGCATCCATCATTCCCAATCTCTGAGCGGCTCGGCGAAGCACGGAGGATCCTTTGGCAGGGTTATTGCTTTCACTTTAGATAGTCTTCAAGGAGCTGGCGGCCACCAGGCAGTAAAAAGTTTTAGGCAGAGGCGAGACCAGCTGGAGCGGCTCCGTGGCGGGACTCTGCATTCCCCAGAACCTGGGGACAGACTCGCTGCACTGTACTCAGGTGCCTCTCCCAGGGATCAGGGCATAAAGTGGGCCTTGATTTCATGACCTTGGAGGATGTTAGGCTGGGCAGGGTCAGTCCAGGCCTTGCCATGTGGGTTCCGAGTGGGAGGGGAAAGCGCTCATGACTGGTGCAGTTAAAATAACTTTTCTGGTATTGACTTGTGGCAAAGGGATGCCTGACTAGTCCCCAGCCAGAACTTTGTGGGGGGAAGGGTTAGTAACGCTAGAAAAATTGGGGAGCACTCAAAAAGGATCACCCAAAGAGAGCAGGAGACAGACCATCAAATGCCTTTGATCGTTCCACCTTCTGGGCCCCCGCCTGCCTTGCTTTCTCTGCACAGGTTAGCAGTAGGCATCGCTGTGGAGTGCCCAGCACCCATTCACCGAACGCTCACCAGCTCTCAGGTGTGCTACTCCTAAAGGACTCGCGCACACCAGTCTGGGAGATTCAACGTCAGATCGCCAAGTTGCTTCACGTACACCACTCAGATATGTTTATAGTGAAAGCAAGAATTAGTTTATGATCAAAGAACAGAGATGCAAATGAGAGAAAGCAAGGATGCTGGAAACAAATGGTTACATATACAACAAAACCATAGCACAGTTTTTAGTGCATACCTTTAATTCCCAAGATATTCCTGTCAAGAAGTGTGGGGGAGACGAGGCCCTGCACCCCCGGCTTCCTGCGATTTAACATGACTCTCAGCCGGCCAGTAAGGCAGAAGGTTTATTAGACGACAGGAACACGGTCCAAAACAGAGCTTGCAGGTACAGACAACAGGACCCCTCAGTCAGGTCCATCTTGGGGGCCAGGGATCCCAGTCTGGGCTTCCCTCCCCTTCCCCAGCCAGCTCCAAACTGTAAGGCTCCAGCCTCTCTTCTGCCTTGGTTTCTTTCCCGGGCCAGGAGGTCACCTGAACTCCTTGTTCTCCAACACCTTCAGTTGGCACCTTTGCAGAGGAGGGGCTCAGGCCATCAGTGGCCAGGAGACATTCTCTGTGCAGACACCATCGCACAGGCCCTCTCGGGCTCTGCAACAATCACACCCCCTTATCCCACCACCTAGATATTTAAGAACTGCATAGAGGAAACTGAGGCACCCACACAGTATTCAGAGAGAACATTAAGAACAGTCCCACTTCGTCACAATTCCCTGGTTTCCTAGAGAGTAGCTTCCCCAAGCCCTCTTCCTAGAATTTTCAGCCAAGCCTCCTGAAGTAAACCCATGGTTAGTTGACCTCCTCAATGGGGATTTATCTGCACCCCTTTTGTACTAAACCAGACCTTTTGATCTTCACTTGAAGAACAGGGTGTCTCTCCCCCCCCCCCACTGTTTACATCTGCCTCTTACTTTCCTTCTCAAGTCTCCATTAGCTCTTCATTAGTATTTGACCCAGTATGCAAATCGACTTCTATTGTATGCTACACAATGCCTCCCTGCCCCACTAGGAGATAAGTGTCTCCTGCCTGCTGGGGGAAATGTGTCTCCAGGCAGGGTAACCTGCCTTTAACTTGCAAGACCCAGAGAACATCCTTTTCAGCGTGTACGGAACTCCTAATGGATTTGCCGTGCATACCTCTTGCAATGGTGACGCTAGCCAGGGCAGCACGGACTTTCGTTAGAGACCTTACCTGACATTCTGCGGTGAAATCAGGGGGCTCTGTACCCCTATGGACCCCTCTGCCAGTTGGCATCAAGAGCTCCTCGGGGCACGAGCTTTATTAAGCACCAGCGCTGCATTTGCACTCGGATCCGCTTACCATTACGCCCGTGTGGAGTCCCATTGAAATGAATGGGGCTCCCCCCCCCACCCCCGAGCGCAGAGGGCTCTCTGCACGGCTCAGATTGCTGGCTCAGGGCCCTAGAGGAAAGCCGGGAAATGACAGTCTAAGCCCCAAGTCCATGGGTGTTCAGTTTGACACGCGTCACTTCATTCACACGAGTGGTCCATTTATTTAGTTAGGATATTTACTCCCGTGTGAATATTTGCAGGCTCAAGTGCTGCACCCGACACAGAAAAACACAGCAGCTAGAACAATGGAACCCTGCTTCCCGATGGGGGCCTGTAGGCACTACTCTAATTGAAATAATTAATAATAATTAATAACTTCAAGTTAATTATAATGGTGCGGCTGCTACATAAAGCGAGCACGTACACCCTCTATCCCCCACGAAAACCATTCTCTCTCAGCACTGGCTGCGTATCCCACCAATGCAAACCGGAAAAAGCAGTTCAATGATTCAGCTCCTCATCTGCGTGGCTCTCATCAGCTCCCTTCTCGCCCTGATCTCCCTCCCTCCCGCAGCCCGTGTCCCTCCACCCTTATCCGGAGCAACCCTCAAGCAGCCGGAACACCAGCCAGGCTCATTTGTTAATCTGGTGGGGGTGTAGCTTTCCTCAAATACACTGTATGTAGTGCTTTACCTGGCCTGTCTAACGTATCTATAGCCTCACGGCACTGTAGTGCTGAGGGAAGAGACATCCAGTGAAACTGAGCAGTAACCCAATGTGTAATTCAACTGTGGAACTCACTGCCCCAGTATCTCGTTGGGCCCATTAAGTTCTGCTGAATTTCAAAAGGATTTGACATTTCTATGGCTAACGAGACCCTCTACAGTTACATTAAATAGCATAAAACATGTATAAGAGCTATACAATCTCATGTTTCAGGACACCGAAACATCCTCTACGGGGAGATTATTCCATAATTGACTATTTAGAGGGATTTTTGTACCTTCCTTTGTAGCATCTGATCTTGGCCACTGTCAGAGACAGGATACTGGGCTCGAGGGACTTGGTTTGAGTCTTCTGTTACTGTATACACAAATTCAATTGAATGGATCGCTCAGGACAAGTCAAAAGCTGTAGATTGAATTATTTATGCAATATGTCTTGATTATAAGTAATAAAGCGAAAACTATGCTTGGATTTGGCTCGTCAGTGGCTAAATTCCCCTATTGTTCCTAATGCAAGCGGTGCCAGTGACGTGAACAGGACTTCTTGTCTGGCCAAGGCGGGCCCCATTTGCAGATATGTGCGTCCCGAGATACCCTGCGTCTTTCTTTTAGTCAAAAGAATTGAGTTCGGGTCGAGGGAGTTGATTTCTCATTGATTCCATCGCAATGTTAATGTTATAAAACCCAAGAACACGTTTGATCTGAGATTTGACAGAACCTTTTACAAAAGTTAAATATGTCCCTGAAAAGTGTCCCCTGCCCATGTTTCTTTTGAACCATGAACAAATTCCCACTGCTAAGGAGATGCGGAGGGTATGCAGTGGACATGAATGGCCCATAATGAGAAGGACTGTGTGTTCCACAAAACCCAGCACTGTCCCCACTAAAATCTTTGCAGGGCCAGCTATTATGCCTGGCAATATGTGTCTGGGTGAAACATCCAATTGGACACCTTGGGGGTAGCTTCCATTATGACTACATCTTCGATGTTATCAAGTACTTAGCGATGCCTGGCTATTCTAATGGCTGGGCTGCGTGATTATCTTACCCCTATAATTTGGTGCCGAGATTGCTGCTCTCATCCTGGGCTCCTAACTCTTCGACTGGCGCACTGTGACTATTAGCAGCTTCCACTCTGTGGAACAGGGGGGAAGCCGCAAGCGTAGTTAATTGAGTTCAAATAAACTTTTTCCTTCTGCCGCCATCTGGTCAGTTACTTGGGTTACTTCCTAGTTCGATGCACTCACGTATCCGGCACCTTTCGGCTCTCTGCCTGAGGTGCAGCAAATCTCCTCTAGGGTTCGCCCACGTAGGTCCCCTCGTCTTTGCGATACCGCTCTGCTCAGCTTTCTGCAGCTGCACCTGGGATGAAGAGGAGCTTGTTACGGCAGTTTCTATCTGTTTTACAGTGTGTTTTGGATCACAACAGTGATACTAGAATAGCACCCCCCACCCCAGCTTTGCTCCCTGGGCATTTATGAATCACATTCTTGACACTAATGAAAAATTTAGCTTCACAACCCGCCTCTGAAGTAGGGAGATATCATCGCCTGCAGTTCACAGAGAGGGAAACAGGAGGCCAGAGAGCTGACGTGGGTTAGAACGCAGGAGTCCTGAATTTTAGCCTGTTTCTAATCACCAGGCCGCGTTTCCCGCCCAGAGCTGCAAACAGAATCCCGGCGTCCAGATGCCCCATTCCTTTGCTCAAACCACATTCCACCGGGGTCCATTATTCGGCAGCACAGTGGAATGTCCCTATCATGCCAGGGCGGAGAAACAGAAAGGAAAATCCTCAACCTTAACCTTAACACTTCTCACACCCTGTCAGACAGTCCTGGGTGCTAAAGCCCAGAGCTAGAAAGCTATTTGGCGCCCATTAAAATCAGCGATGGCTAAACCCCTAACGCCTTCGGCCTCGTCTGACTCTTTGTTCCAGCTTCCATGATCCACTGGACGCGGCAGATCAAGGAGGTGCTGCGAGCGCAGGAGGCGGTGGAGAGCAGGGAGAGCACGGGGCCGTTGGAGGAGATTGAGTTCTGGACGAACCGCTGCACCGACCTGTCTGAGATCAGCAAACAGCTATGCAGGCAGGGAGTGACGCACATCGAGTCCATCCTGGTGCTCTCCAAGTCCTCCTATGTGGCACCCTTCCAGAGGCTTGCCAGACAGATACAGGTAGGGGTGGAGACAGTGCCCGGCTGAGTGGGGAGAAGTGGACCAGAGCCGGGTCCCACTTTGTAAAAACTTGTGCTGAATGTTGGCTCATGAAAGGGAGGGGATCCCTACAGTAACCCCCATCTGTACATGCACTGCTCTGGTCCAGTCCGGGGCTCTGCGCACACAGCTCGGCCGATGTCCCTCGAGCCCTGGAGAGGGAATGCAGTTTTACTTCGGTGCAGGAACCGAAAAGACGTCAAGAGTCTAACTTGGGCCTTGGAACCCTGCAGGCCGAGTGTCCTGCTTTCACTTGGAGCCCACTAGCCCTGGGTCCTCAGGATTAGCCCGCCTGCTAGAAACCCGGGTGAGATGAGTCCTTTTTCTCTCCCCCTCGGTGATTGCTTTGCAGGACGGGTCTGAGCAAGCGCAGTCGAACCTCCGCTTCCTTTCCATCCTGAAAGAGCCGTTCCAGGAGCTGTCCACGCTGCGGCCCAAAGACATCCCTGACAAGCTGCCCCGCCTCGTCAGCCTCGTCCGCATCATATGGGTCAACTCCCCATACTACAATACCAGAGAGAGAATCACAGCCCTCTTCCGAAAGGTGGGGGCTAGTGGGTTAAAGCAAGTGGGGGAGGGGTCTGGGAGCCAGGACTCCTGGGTTCTATCTCTGGCTGTGGCAGGGGAGTGGGGTCTAGTGGTTAGAGCAGGGGGGGCTGGGAGCCAGGACGCCTGGGTTCTCTCCCTGGCTCTGGGAGGGGAGTGGGGTCTAGTGGTTAGAGCAGAGGCTGGGAGTCAGGACTCCTAGGTTCTCTCTCTGGCTCTGGGAGGGAAGGGGAGTGGGGGCTAGTGGTTAGAGCAGGGGGGGCTGGGAGTCAGGACTCCTGGGTTCTCTCCCCGGCTCTGGGAGGAGAGTGGGGTCTCTCCTCCCAGTTAGAGCAGGGATGCGATGTAGCCCACCTAGGGACTATTCTTAGTCTCCTCTGGCTTTGAACTTTGCCAAGCTCCCTGCCTCAGTTATATCTGGTGGCAGCGAGTTCTTCAGGTTAATTATCCTCTGCCCCAAATCATTTCTTCCCGTCACTCTGATGTGTGTTGCCATTGAACTTCTTGGAGAGCTGGACTCGTTATTGCTAAAAATGATTGCCCAGGAAGAGTCTTTGTTTACTTTAAGAGGCCCACGCAGAGCTGTGCTGACCCTTGAATCATTTCTCCTTAGATGAGCAACAAAATTATCCTGATGTGTTGCCAAGACATTTCCCTGGACCGGATTTTTGAGGGTTACGTGGTATCCAGCAGACAGTCGCTCCATGACTGTATCTCATGTATGAACGCCTGGAAGGATTGTTACCTGTACGCAGCTCAGATGCACAACAGGTGGGCAGCGGGACAGCCTGCGCCCTGCAGAACCAGCGGAAGGATGTAAAGGGAATGCGTGAAAGAGCCCAGATTAGCGACTCCTCCGGATGTCCCCAGAGTGGGGACCACCTGGGTATTGTCTTCCCCCTCCCTGCTGCAGCCCTGCTGTCAGTCTGGGTGGCCTGTTCAGTTCTTGGGACCTTGCCCAGACTGCCAAAAGGTGGGTCAGAAACTTGCAGCCCACTAGGGACAAAAAATCCGCTTGGTGGCTGGGAGATGGGGATGAGTGGAACCAGTGAGCTGGATGGGAAAGGCCCCGTGTCCCAGTCCCCAGCCCCTTCTGACTGGCTCCAGTCTCCCTTCCCTGCTTCTCCTGAGCTGTAGAAACCAGAATCTATCATTATGATTAGGGATGTCAGGTTTAAGTGGGCGCCTGGTCCTTGACAATTAAGCCTAAGTGTTACTTGTCGGCTTCAGGTTCAGCTTTGTCGGGCTGGATCAATATTTTATAAGACAAAGACATTAGCGTGCAAGCCAGGCAAATACAGCTGAGTGGGGATTAGGTACTCGAGCTTTGCTCTCATTGTCTGTGATCTCCCCAGAGCTCCTGGGTAGGATAAGGCCCCGGGGTTTTCCTACAGCCCTGTCAGTGGGAAGAGATTCTGGGGCACCTGTCACGGAGTATGGGGGGGACTCAGGGCCTTGCACCCACGGCGCCCTGCGATTCACCATGGCTCTCAGCCAGCCAGTAAAGCAGAAGGTTTATTTAGACGACAGGAATACA